TTGAAAATATGATTTTCTAAATAGGGAATACGATTCCCAGTTGAAGGGAGAGATAAAATTTTTGAAATTTGCCCCTTATTCCGCAATCTTTGGGCGTCCATAGGATGGATCTCTCATCCCTTCATTCCTCATGCCCCTGTTCGTTGTTTCTGTCCACCACGCCCTCGGCCTGTTCCACGGATATTATTTTTTGGCCAATCACCCCACCATTCAGGGTAGCCGATCAGTTGAAAACAAGACTCTACATCGTGGCCTATCTTGTTGCTATGAGTACATACTTTGTTCTTGTCTCTGCCTTCGCTTTGCCTCTTTCCTGTTTGGGATGCAAAGGCCACAGCTTCAGCTTTCTCTTCCTTTGCACGCGTCATAGTCTGAACTTGCTCTTCTTGAATCACAATGGCATAGGCTCAATTCAAATTTGGCAAGGGTTCCGTACTCAGTATATGCGAACGCACACCTCCATAGACCATGTCATCTAGCCCCATCAAAAATTGATGAAGTTTCTCCTCTTCATCTCGCTTCTTATCCCACGCCCTGCTTATATCGCAGCTGCACTTACCACATTGACAAGTAGGATATTGCTCATAATTTCCCAATTCCTCCCATATCATCTTGAGTTTGCCATAGTAATTCAGAATCGTCATACCTCTTTGTTTACAATTCGCCAACTCGGATTTGAGTTGTTGAACTCATGGTCCATTACCAACAGAAAATCGCTCATTTATGTCGTCCCAGAGTGTCTTCGCAATCTCAGTGTACGTTACGGTTGAACGTAAATTTGGTTCAATCGTATTCAGAATCCATAACACAAGCATGGAATTCACCATCCACCAATCTTCTAATTCCACTGAATCCTCCGAAGGTTGTTTCACCGATCCATCAATGAAGCCGAATTTCTTCTTGGCTCGCAGCGTTGTTCTTATTGCTCGAGCCCATTCATCATAGTTGTCACCTCTAAGCTGGATCTGTGTGATAATGCTCCCTGAATTGTCATTGGTTGATAGAAGGTAGGGTGAGATCACGTTCCTTGGACATTGACTGCCGCTCTGATCCTTGTTTTCAGCCATGTCAAGTATAGTGTTGGTGCCGCAGAAGAGAAACTACCGCAGAACGTTGATTCGCCGGAAGAACTCTGCGAAAAATCACAGTGCCGCACTGTGATACTTCAGAAACGATGATACTTTAGAAATCGAAGTGCCGCTACTGTTCACCAAAGGAGACGATGATCACCGAAGTGCTGCCGCTATTCACCGAAGGAGACGATGATCACCGAAGTGCCGCCGCTGGTCTGAAAACACAACGCCGGACTGAAAAACACAGCGCAGAACGTTGTCGCTGCTGATCACTGGTCAAAAGTGCTGCCGCTGTTCACTGAAGGAGACGATAATTACCAAAGTGCCGCCGCTGGTCCGAAAACACAGTGCCGGACTGAAAAGCATAGCGCAGAACGTTGTCGCTATTGATCACTGGTCTGAAGTGCCGCCGCTGTTCACCGTAGGAGACGATGAACAGTGATACTTCAGAAACCAGAAGCAGTGTCGCCGCTAATCACTGGTCCTTCGCCGGCACCGAACGATCGTTGCTGCCGCCGTTGATCTCCAGAGTGCCAAGGCTCTGATACCATGTAAAACCAGAGCTTCTCTGGTTTCTACTGTCTTATTTATTCACTGACAATACCGAAATATATACACTCGAGTCTCCTACGTCCACAAGGATAAGAAGAGAAGATGTAACCGAGACTCCTGATTCAATAACAATTACAACAGACTTTCAATCCTAATTGTAATCCTAACATTAAACTAGGAATACCAGAAAAAATCCACAGCCATGGCCGACCTATTTCTCTGTCTGAGTTGGTTTGTGCTATTGGGATCCCCTCAACAAAATCAGATTGGTTGCGTCGCCTCATGCTCGTGTTGGTCAACTCGAGCCTTATCTCCGTCGATAGAAATGAAAGTGGAGAGGAAGAGTTGTATTTTCTAACTCCCTCTGGTAGACTGCTGCTGAAGGATCACCCATTCAATATCCCAAGCTTCGCATGGTTCTCCTTCCCTGAATTAAATAGGGCAGGGCAATTCTTGAGCAATTCATTCCATCAAAGTAATTCTGTTCCCTTTCAGATGGCTCATGGGATGAGTTTCTGGGACTTCATAAGCAAGCATGATGAGCTTAACAAGGGGTTCCAGGATCGAATGATCAGTGACAGTCGTTTGACCATTAGTGCAGTGGTCAATGAATGCAGTGATATTTTTCAAGATTTGAAGTCTTTGGTCGACGTTGGAGTAGGATCTGGAACTGCAGCTAGACTGATTGCAGAGACCTTCCCACATGTGAAATGCACCGTCTATGACCTTCCTTGTGTGATAGAAACCATACCAGAGAACACACGCGTGGTTGTTGATTCTATCGGAGGTGACATGTTTGAATACATCCCCCAGCTGATGCTCAAGGTAATATATATATATATATATATATATGTCGAAGTCAATTTTCAAATTTCTGCTTTTAGAATCATTTGAGTACTGTTATGAGTCGTAACTTAAGAGGGGTTTGATTTTTTTTTTCTTTTTTTTTTATTTTTGGGTAAATTATTGAAACCTCCCCTGAAATTTCTGACTGTTACTGAAACCTCCTCTGAAGTTTTGTAATTGTATTTACCCCTCTTGAACTTTCTAGTACAGTTGCAAATACATCCCCTTTGTTAGAATCCACCAACAAAAGGCACAAAATGTCCAAAATACCCATAAAATTACTATTGAGACCGGTTTCTCCAGAAAAGCAATAACAATAAAAAAGAGAATTTAAAGTTACAGCTTACCTTTGAGCGATTGATATAAATAAAAAATTGAAAAATAAATCAATTTCGGAAAAGGGATTGAAAGGGTTTGAGATAATGATTCATATGAAAGGAAAATTTGAAAAATAAACATTTTGGTGGAAAGTAATTGCATGGGTATTTTGGACATTTTCGTGCTTCTTTTTAGAGGATTTTAACAAAATGGCATCTACTTGCTACTTGCAACTATGTCACAAAGTTCATGGGAGGTGATTGCAATCATCAAACTTCAGGGGAAGTTTCAGCTAGGGGTGCTCACTGATCACAGTTCGGTTGGGCCTATTTTCCAAATCAAACCAATAGTTACCGGTTTTTGGGAAATTGGTAACTGAAACCAAACCAAATCCAATCGGTTAACTGGTTGATCGGTTCGATTAACCACCAGTTCAATTTGTCGGTTTTTTGGTTTTTGATTTTTATAATATAATTATAAATAAATGTATAAATATATAATAAAAAACTAGATATACATAAAAATATTATATTATAAATAGTAGATAATATTATATATATATATATTTATTTATTTATCGATATAATGCATATATATTCATTTATAATATATAGATAATACAAAATATATATGAAGAATATATATATATATAATATTTTTACGTGTATATATACATAAAAATATATACCAGTCAGTTCAGTTAACCACCAGTTTTTATATTGGTTAATTAAAACTGAACCGGTACCCTCGGTTTTTCAAAAATACTGAACCGATCGGTTTGGTTAACCAAAACTTTTTGTTCAATCTCATCAGTTTGGTTCATTTTTTTGGTTTTTTAGTTTTTCGATTTTAAATGATTACCCATAGTTTCAGCAACAACTAGAAACTTCAAGGGAGGTTTCAGCAATTTATCCTTTAATTATGAAGTTTTGGGGCACCCAAATCCGAGTTCACATCTCCGCCCCACAAAGAGCCGCCCCATAGCACATTCCCACCATGTATTGGGAACATCTCCCAATGATAGTACTAGTCTTGATGATGTCATCATCAGAAGATGTTCCCAGTACATGGCGGGGATGTGCTGTGGGGCGGCCCCTTGTGGGGGCAGAGATGTGAACTTAGATTTGGGAGACCCAAAACTTCATAATTAAAGGATAAATTGCTGAAACCTCCCTTGAAGTTTCTAGTTGTTGGTAAACTAGGGGTACTCATTTAAAATCGAAAAACCAAAAAAGGCAACATAGCCCATTAGGGCAATATTTGGATCCTAACTTTATACGTGCATTAAATGTTCCTACAAAAATTTCCAAGATTTTTCCTTAAAAATAATCCAAGAAACAAACAACCACCAATGGATAAGATATGATAAGATGGAAAACAAAAATAAACTACACCTACCAACAATGACATATACACAGAAAACAGCAACATTTTGAAAAACGATTCAGAACCGGAACAGCCTTGGCCACCAGTTTTCAGGTCAGCGGTTTAATTGTCCAGTCCAGATGAATCGGATGATGAAAATTTTAAAAATAAAAAAATGGTTTAAAAACTGTTGTCCAAACAGGTCAACAGTTCAATCCCCGAGTCAACAGGTCACTAATCAAGTCAATGGTTTTTAACAAAAGAATGGTTAGGGGTGAAATGGAACCGGTATCCTGACTATTTTGTATGTCGACTAGCAAATTACAAGAGTTTATATACAAAGAATAAAATAATGATAAAAAGAAAAAAAAAAGAAATGAATAGGCATGCAGTTGCCTATTTACATTATTTCCTAAATAAACCATTGCCTTCTTTAGATGTTTCCAATCTTAGAGAGTTGCCTTCTTTGGAGACTTCTAATCCTGGAGAGTTGACTCTGATGGAATTTTCCTCAGCCCATAGCTTTCCTTTTTTCATTATAAATATGTGTGATCTTGGCAAGCACACACAAACGCTAGCTCTCACTGTCTCACAACCCGTTATCTCATGGCGCTTGTGGAAGAGAAATCTGACGAGCTACTGAAGGCTCAAGTCCAAGTTATGAGCCACTATTCAGCTTTATAAGATCGTTGGCCATCGTCTCTGCCGTTCAGGTACAAATACCAGAAAAAATCCACAGCCATGGCCAACCCATTTCTCTCTCTGAATTGGTCTCAGCTCTCGGCATCCCTTCAACAAAATCGGATTGCTTGCGTCGCCTCATGCTCTTGCTGGTCCACATGGACCTTGTCTCCATTCAAAAATGTGAAAATGGAGAGAAAGACCTGTATTCCCTAACTCTCTCTGGTAGAATCCTGCTGAAGCATCATCCATTCAACCTCGACCCATCCTGGTCATGGTTCTCAAACCCTGCACTAAATATGGCAGGGCAATGCCTGTGCGGCTCATTCCATCAGAGCAATTCTACACCCTTTGAGATGGCACACCAAATGAGCCTCCGGGACTTTTTGAGCAAGAAAGATGAGCTTAACAGACAGTTCAACGATCTAATGGCCAGCGACAGTCGTTTGATCATGAATGCAGTGGTTAAAGAGTGCAGTGATATTTTTCAAGGATTAAAGTCTTTGGTGGATGTTGGAGGAGGCAATGGAACTGCAGCTAGACTGATTACAGAAGCTTTCCCTCATATGAAATGCACTGTCTATGATCTCCCTCATGTGATAGCAACCATCCCAGAGAGCACACACTCTATTGTTGATTCCATTGGAGGAGACATGTTTCAATACATACCCCCATCTGATGCAATTTTTCTAAAGGTACGTAATATATTTTTATTTAATTTATTGCTATTGTTATTATCTACTGCATTGATTCAACCTTCTATATCTAATTTATTCTTTAACTAATTCAACTTATGGCAGTCTATTCTACATGATTGGAGTGATGAGGACTGTGTGAGAATATTGAAACGGTGCAAGGAAGCAATTCCCCCAAAGGAAGACGGAGGAAAGGTGATTATAATAGACATAGTTTTGGGGAATGAAGATGATAAATCGTTTGAGCTCCAGCTTTTCTTTGACATCACTATGATGGTTCTACTTGGGGCGAAGGAGCGCACAGAAGGTGAATGGAAGACCTTATTCAAGGAAGCTGGTTTCTCTGACTACAAAATAAAACGTGCTTTGGGGTTTCGATCCATCATTGAGCTTTATCCATGATTGCTTGGCTATATGGTCAAAGCTTATAGCAGTATAAATAATTCTTTCTTAATATAATAAGACATGATCGATGCAGATTCCACTTTATTGCTTGTTCAATGGAGTTATTATTAAACTTGGAAGGGTTGTTCTTTCTGTAATTTACTTGATTTTCTTTGACATTTTGATTCCCAGTAAATTTTCTCCATTGATGCACCATAGTGAAAGATGATTTTTAAAGATGGGTCATATGGAAAAATTAATTAATTAATTCCTCGATTTAAAGATGTAGAACCAAGCTACCGGTCATGGGAGGATCAGATGAGTGAGTGGTATACACTTTAAGACACAGAAAGAATGGTTAGAAAGAAAGCTTCTTAAGTTCTTATCTTTCCAACTTTCCATGAAGAATTTATCAGGATGAAATAGAAAAAAAACAGGCCAAGGGAGGATCAGATGAGTGAGATTGATTTTATCAGCATTTACCCGGGTAAGTGCATTTATCTTTCTAACTTTCCCTGCAAACTTGAGTATAGGTTGAAGTAGGTTCATCAGTTTGTTTTAATTTGAAGAAATAAGAAAGATTGCCTCGGAAAGCTCTCAGTCAAAATATCAACTACTTGATCAATTGTAGTATGTACCGAATAATGAGATTCTAATTTGCAACTTTATCACGAAAAATGGGAATCAATCTCCAAAGGTTTTGTTCATGAGCAAAAGATAGGACTAGCCGTCAAATATGTGGCATAGAGATATCATACCATATAACAGGGGGAGAGGGGACGAAGTCACCGATCGGAGCCAAGCAATCATCGTCATTGCTGTGGCAAGACTCGATATTCAGCTTTGGTGGAGGACCGAGCTAATAGCCTTCTCCTTCTTAGAACATCAATGGGAGTCTAAATATGCATATAAGGCCCTGTTCACTTTTTGGTAAGTTAATTATTCAGGTAAATAGACTTATTCAGGTACTGGGAAACACTTACCCAGGTAAGTGCATTTATTCATGTTCTTTTATTTCCCATGAAAACAAGACAATGACCATTTTAGCCATAAAAATCTATTATTACAAGGGGCATTTTTGTCCCATTCAAGTGTTGGCAATTTTCCCCCAATGTGGAAAAGTTATTTACCCACCTAGGATTCCCTGCTTTCCACATAAATCTGAAAAAAGAACATGGGATTTTTGATCAATAGGAATCAAAATCCCGTTGACCAACTTTCCCCCCTCTCAAAATCAAGAAAAAGAACACCCCCTAAGAGTAAACAAGGAGGTGGACCTGATAAGTAAGCCATGATTATCCATTGTGTGTCCCCACCCCGAATCCCATTAGCGCTAGAAATCCCAACTCCATCCCCATCTCATGCCTGTTTGGGGAATTCCTATTTGCATACTTGCAAATTTATTTTTTTTTCTGAAACCTACCTAAAACTATATTATATTTTGTAATATAATATAGTCAAAGTAGGTTCGAGGCTAGGGTAAAGGAAGGGTGAATAATTACCATCCCCATGTCCACCCAGCCTTGTCTCCAAGTTTCCCCAAAACCTACCTTGAACCCCGACCAATGGTTAAAAAGTTTGCCCTGACTGGGCAGGGCAAGACGGATCCCCATGAGGATGAGTTAAATTGTCATCTCTATTGTACACTTGAGGTAACAAAGCACCCTCTCTGCAGCAGCCCAATCAGAGGTAGAGGGGCAATGCATGTGACGTGTGTTGACACAAAATGAAATATTGGGCCTAGTGATGGACAAGTATTGTAAAGTAAGACTATGGTTTTGGATCCATCCATATGAGTGTGATGGAGAAGATCAAGGAAATATGGTGACTTAAACGTAGAGCTGCATCAATGTTATGGGCCTCAATCCCCAAGAAATAGTGCAATGACCCAAGATCCTTAAGAGCAAAGTGGGGAGAGAGAGAGAGAATAGAAATTAGATGTGAGAAAGATGAATTGTTATCCTCAGTGACAAGGATGCCAACAATGCATATGAGAACGTAGATGGTGAGCCATTGCAAATGTAAATAAAAAGGAAATTTTCAGATTCCCACACATTACAAATTTTTATCTATTTATACAATTGGGAACAATGATAAGTGGGGGAATATACAATACAAGGGGGTAGTTTTAGATAAAATATGCCCTTAGATCCAATTAGATTGATGTACACAAACAATTCTATATGAATAATATAAGTGTATTATTGTTTTATGTTGGTGTGTTTCTATAAATTATTTCTTAAACTGGACACTTATGAAACTTGTGTTAGTTTAGAATGTTTTCAGCCATTAAATAGATTTGTGGGAACTGATTTTCATCAGTCTTATATTATGTTTTTGAAGAAAAACATTAGAAAATACTAAATTCACATAGTTGCATCAGTCCAAGCAAGTTGGGGTTTGGTTTTGCTAAAACGGTATTATTGAATCAGCATTGCACATACAACTATGCCATCTTCAGTTGGAGGCCGATTTAGGTATGATATTGGGTGTGAATCACTACTTTAGGAGCTACGTTTTATGGACTCTATATCAAGTATATTAGTTTTAAATTCGACTTTCAAATCTAGTCCAGTTTAGTGTAAGATCGATCCAGAAATTCAGATTTCAAAATACCAAAAAACCAGTACTCAGGTTGGATTAATTTTTTTTTTTTTAATTTTGGCCAACAGTTGTAACAAATTTAGTCAAGTTTAATCAAGTTTCTACCTCTTACAATAGGCAATACTACATCATAGGTGGGGATTTTGGAAAATAAAATTAGAAAATAATTAAAAATTTGTAAGGTATGTGAGGTAAAGTAAAGATTTCTCTAAGTAAAATATAAGGTATTCATCTTGGATCCAAGAAAGCCCATAGTCAGAAGCAAGTTGAAAAGGTGTTGAACCAGGCTTGTAGGGCCTATTTTAGTCCATATAATCATTTATGCACTAAGCAAACATATTTTGTCTTGGTTGGATCAACAAAGGCTTGAAGTTGAGTCATATAGACTATTTATTGCAATGTTCCATGAAGGAAAGTGATGGTACGTGATCTGGTGCTCCCTGTTGGAAGATAGCTCAGATGCCTGGATGATGAGGTTGGCTGGCCATTGCAAGAAAAACTATCAGAGTACCCGGGTTGCTTTACCTGGTTAGGGGCACTCTTAATGCTTAAGTCAGCGAAGAGTATATGAATGCTTGAAAGTGAGAGAACTTATAGAGTCTGAGAGCAAAAGCACGCATACCTTCTCTAATTAAAGGGACGCCTTTATATAGGCATAGGTTGTCATGGGCTTCACGTCGCTCGTTTGAGATCTTTGAGGGGACGTGGCTTACCAGTCCACCTCGCTCGGAGGTAGTTTCCTACTCAGAGACTGCTTTTCGTGTAGAGCAATAAAGCTTATCTAGTTGCTTTTGAAGCGGGTAGGGCGGGAGTTAGCTTCGTTAAGGAGGCAACATGCTCCTAGAGGATTCAAAGACGATAGTCCACAAACAGTAGATGTCAATCACCATGTCGTGCAGGTCACCAACTGCACCCCATCCAGGTTGGTGACAGCTAGCTCGCCATGCCGATGTGATCATAGGTCGGCCTTGCCGAGGTGATGCTAGAATACTTAGCATGCACGTGGTGTGCCTGAGGTGTGTCAGATGTAGAGTTTGCATTGAGCAAGATATAGGCATTGCCTACATGGCACTGCACTGCAATTCAAGGGTCCCGGGGTGCCACATGTCACAATGTCACTGGAAGGTCGAATCACCCCTCATAAAAAAGTATTGGAAGCATTGAGCTTCTAAATATCCCAACTTCTAGACTTAGCATGTGAAAGAACTAGTTAAAAGGTAGTGGGTTTGACTAAAGGTTTAAAATTTCCTTGTAGTTAATACCCTTTCATTGATGAAAGCCCTTAGCAATTAAATGGGCTCTGAATCTATGAATCTATCAACTGATCCATCTAGTTTCTTCATCAACTTATAGGCCTATATACCCATTTATACACAATGACATGTAGAAGATTGAGCAAGGTTCAAAGTATCAATACACCCCATACATACAAAAAGGTGTATTGGGTGTTTCACTACTTAATAACTTTGTTATTTTAGTAATTTTTTTTTTCAAAATTGTACCAGGGGGTCGGTTTTAAGCATGCCTACCCCTTAAAAATGGTCAAAGTCCGAAGCACCTCTTATTTGAGGTTTCGGACAGCTTCCGACCCCCTGATACAATTGGCACATGCCATTCTAAATCAAGGCATTATATATTCGTTCGCATAGTAGTGCGCCATTATACATGTTTTGAAGATTGAGTATAGATTGAGGTCGGGTTCCATAGGAGGAATGTACCTAAGGGGTGTTTAGTGGCATAATATACTTTAGTTTTGCAAACACCTGTCTTGGACTGCTGGATTTGTATGGGATGGTGTTCATAGTAGAGGGTGGAACAATGAGTAAGGCTAAGGCATAATGGTGAGCACTAAATTGGCGGGTTAAGGTAAGTAAAAGTGGGTTAGGTTGTAGGCATGGGACTGAACTAGTAGTATTACAGTAGTGCAAATTGGGTTTGAAATGGGTGAGTAAAGACAAGTGTGGACATATGGGTATTAGATGGAGGTGTGGGTGTTGCATTAGTAGTGGATTGAGATGGGTGAAAGTAGGCCAACTATAGTGAAGGTCCCCATATCACAATTCCTGAAGACTCATGGGAGTCATTTGTAGAAGAATCTTGGTGAGTAGAAAAAGGGAACCATGTCTTATCAAAAACCCGAAAAAATAGGTGGAAGTTGAGCATGAGAGAGAAATACAAGGATGCTTTACTTTAGAGAGAGTTTGATACTCTCCTCTCAATCAGATTGTATATGATTTTAACATTGCAATTGAAGTAATTTTCAACAACAGTCTTTACTTAATTAAAATATATGTAGAACATCATACTTGCATTCAAGTGAAAATAACCATGTATGTTTCTTGAAGTCTTCAAAATAAAGAGTACATAACCCCACAAGCCACTACAGAGAAGTGATGGCTGCAAGTAGAGGTATA